TATTTTAATATTTAATTAATATAAAATATAAAAGTACATCTAGAAAATTGTATAATATATTATTTTTGTAAAATCTAAAATATTAGTTACATTTTTTAATATGGTTAAAAAATATTAAAGAAAAGATAGAGTAGATTTGAATAGTGTCACACGTGCTAGCGTCACGTGTTTCACGTGTTCACCTAATACTAGAGGCCTCCAGTAAAATAAACAATAAATTATACCCACAGTATCCGAAATTTTATTTAAATTCTACTAATATTTCTAAAAAAAATTACATTTACAGAATTTTTTTTTTATAAGAGTCACAATATAATATAGGTTAATATAATGCATATAGAGTGCTGGTGTAATATTTTTTAAATAATTAAAGGAGATTATTATGAGTGAAAAAAAATAAAAAGTATTTATATAATTTCAGGTGCAACGTACTTTAGTCTAAATAAAATGTAAAAAATGTTGCTCCTCACAATGAACGAACCACAATAATAATATTCTTATTTTTTTACAATAATTTGTGATTCTGCTTTTTCATATTTTTCTTTCTGTCACATCATTCATTTTATCTTACACCTTTCTTCCTAGCTTTTTTTAAGTATCAAAATTATTGCCAGTACTTTTTGTGTGTTTTTATTATTGCCAGTATTTTCTAACATATATATTACTTTACTGAAAATTACTCAATCAATTGGGAGTGATTGTCGGGTCGACCAAAGAAAAAATTAAAATAAATTATTAATAAAAACTTAAATTCTACATCAATTAATTTTTTAAATATAATATATAAGTATAAAATAATTATTATCTTATAAATTAATTTTATAAAACTATCAAACTTATTATTTTAAGACGATATCAAAATCAAACCTACAATTTTAAGACGATATCAAGATCAAATATAATTTAAAGGAAAAGATAATAAATTGTTCAAAATAAAAAAAATTAAGCATAAAATATAAAGTTTTTCAAGGCTTTATAATTGATAATAAAAAGTTACAATTCATTCATTTCATTTTTTTTAGAATGATATGTTTCTTTATTTTATTTTAAAATATAAAAATGGAACAATATTTTTATTTCAATAATTTATATAAAATAATGATGATAAAATATTATATTTCTTATATTAATATTTAAAATTAAAAATAAATAAATATAAAGTGGAATTTAAAATTAAAAATAGAAAACATATTTTCTAGCCAACCGATTATTTATATTTATTGACAGAACAAACCAACCGATTATGAAAATAATTAATTTTGGTTATGGTGGAAACATTTTGTTTTTGTTGATGAAAATAATTATCATTCAGCAACTTAAGTTTATAATCATAATGGGCACCGGAGAAAGATTAATTTGCCCGCCATTGCTATGACAAGAGAGCCACAGATGCTATTTACACTTTTTCCTTTCTTTTCACGTTCTTCATACTATCCAGCTATTATTTTATTGTTTGACAAAAAATATTATTTTATAAAAACTACTTTATATACTTTAATAATATATAAGAAAAATCTTTTTAATAATCACCTTAAATAGATTATTATACTTTTTTATTATTAAAAATAAAAAATTAATAATTTTTTAATAATTACTATTCTCTTTTAATAAATACTTACTCTACTATTTTATCAATTAATTATTTTCGTTAATTAATAATTTTAACTTTTAAATAAAATATTAGTTAAATCCCTTTTTTACATATTTATATAATTTTTATTTTATTTTAATTTTTTAAATAAAATATAAAAACACGGAATGTTCCACCTATTAGTTAGTTTATATAATGTAATTATATTCTGATATTTATGAAAATTAGATTTCATATTATATACATACAAAATTATATTTCAGAAACTAGTTTTACTATACATTCGATGTTATAAAAACTAGTATATACAAGATTTACGAAAAAGTGGTGGGAGTATAAAGATGAAGGAGAAAAACAATATTTATGGAAATAATAAAAAAGATCAAATAAAAAAAAGTGAGGGTGTGGAAAACAAAAAGAGACCCATAAATAGTATGGCCCAAGAAGACGCGGAATACATTATCAACTCTCAATAATATGCTTGGGTTCTCCACCCCCATCCCAAATTGGGCTTAAGATTCGTTAAGATGAATCTTATACACTTCTAATTTTTTCATGAAAATAATAAAAAAAAATATTTTAGAAACTAATTTTTAAATAAGTCATCCAATAGCAAAATTAGTATATTGTGTATTTATTACTTATGTGGTGGAGGCTAAAGCGTTCAATAAACAAGCCTTATATGGATACTAGAAGCATTGCACTTGTTATTGGAAGAAATGACATGTATTATTTTTGAACTAAAGTTGAAGAAAACATTCCATCATCGACCATTACACAAAGACACAGTCCACTATATACAAACAAACACACAAGATTATTTTGTGGCAGAAGAGGTGATTCAAAGCTCAGCATCACGGTGTTGTCCACCTAATTTGTCCTTCATCTCCTTTGATTTTTGCTTCGCAGCCTTTGCTATGTCACCAGCCTTCTCTGCTGCTGCATCCTTCATTTCTCTAGCCTTCTCTGCACTGTATTGACCAGCCTCTGCACATTCAAATATAATAAATGTTAAGTGTGATTTTCATTATTCTTAAAATACTTTACCCTTAATAACTCCCTTGGTCCTTCACACATTTTTTTATATTACAATGTATTATTGCTAATAATTAAGTAACATGAAATTACTTTGGAAAAATCTAAGAGACCCTTTAAGTGTGTGGGAAAAGTTATTGAAGTTAGTGTACCAACCAGCCGCAATGTCTTGGAATTTTTCTCTGTAGTAGTCTTTTGTACTCTGTGCTGTGTCACTGGCTTGATCAGAAGCCTCTTTGGTCCTCTGAGCCGCATCACTGGCATATTCAGACGCCTCTTTGCTTCTCTTAGCAGCATCATCAGCATAGTGTTTGGTCTTCTGAGCCGAGTCAGTTTCATATTCAGAAGCCTCTTTGGACTTGTGAGCAGCACCACCAGCACAGTCTTTTGTCTTCTGCGCTGCATCACTTGCATAATCCTTGGCATTCTGTGCACCGTCACTTGCATAGTACTTGGCCTTTTCAGCACCACCACTTGCATAGTCCTTGGCCTTGTGCGCAGCATCACCTGCATAGTCCTTGGCCTTGTGCGCAGCATCACCTGCATAGTCCTTGGTCTTCTGTGCAGCACCACTTGCATAGTCCTTGGTCTTCTGTGCAGCACAATCTTTAGTTTTCTGTGCAGCATCGCCAGCATCACTTGCATATTCCTTGGTCTTTTGAGCAGCATAATCCTTAGTCTTCTTTGCAGCATCACTTGCATCACTTGCATAGTCCTTGGTCTTCTGAGCAGCATAATCTTTAGTCTTCTGTGCAGCATCAGTGGCACAATCCTTGGTCTTCTGAGCAGTATCAACAACATAATCCTTTGATTTCTGAGCAGTGTCACCAACATAATCCTTTGATTTCTGAGCAGCATCACCAGCATAATCCTTTGATTTCTGAGCAGCATCACCAGCATAATCCTTTGATTTCTGAGTAGCATCACCAGCATAGTCCTTGGTCTTCTGTGCAGCATCACCAGCATAGTCCTTTGATTTCTGAGCAGCGTGACTAGCACATTCCTTTGATTTGTGTGCAGTGTCAGTGGCACAGTCAGAGACTTTCTTAGTGGTGGTGTCCTTAGGTTCTTGATCATGTTTGAAGCCAAGTCCTTCACTGAGTTTCTCTTTGGCCCATTCTGTCCATGACTCAGCGGCTTCTTTGCCCTCTTGGCCTGTTTCCATGGCCTTGTTCGCAGTTTGTGTTGTCTTGGCTTTGGCCTCCTGATAATCGTGACCATCCTCTTTGGTTGAAGGCATGTGGCCAACGCTAGTGCAGTTACAACTCATGGCAAACAACATCACCATCATCACCATAAGCGAAACCACCCTCGAAGCCATCATAAGCAGCAACAATATAATGAAAATGAAAGGTTGAAATGTAGAACAAATAAGAACTAGTTGGAAAGGTTTCACGAGTAAGGAAGTGTAGGTAGTGGTGGAGGGAGGTTGAGAATGGGGGGTTATATATATGAGGGAGTGAGTTGATAAAGATGGGGTGTGATGCATGCAACGTGGCTTGGTTACAAACATGTTAAAATTTACGTGTCAGTTGGAGGAACAACGGTGTCAAACTGCATGACATTATTTCGAGTTGGCGCGTGTCAATGCCCTGATGGAACCGAATGAAAGCATGCACGACTAGAACTTGTTACTTCTTTTCTGGCTGCTTCTTGTACTCCCTATTGCTTTTACTTCTTTATTTTAATCCAAACATCTGTTTAAGAAACTCGAGTACCGACATCTATTTAAGGATTTTTTTTTTCATCATATCAAGTTGAAGATCAAATTATTTATCACAAACTCGGAAGAGAAAGTTATCTGTCAATTATGTTGTTCTTTTATTTTTATTCTCTGCAACCGTCCAACGCATCAATGCTCTGCCTTATCGAGTTAACGTTATTTTCTTCACGCTTCTCCGATTCAATTAAGATGTTCTAAATACTGCTTATGACAAACAGTTTATTCTCCGGTTAAAATTTGTAGTATACTTTATGTTTCTAAAATTTTTAATACATAAAAATTGAATTAAAAAATCTCAATTGTTTGGAAATATGGATTAATGTGCTTATAAATTGAGTTACAAAGAAGTTTTTTATACTAGGCACACAAGAAAACACTTTACCCTCAAATTGGCATGAAATGATGAGAAGATCTCCTTTTCATTTTCTTTATTTTAGATCTTAAAATTTAAATAATTTTTTATAATATAAAAAATAAACAATAATTAAGTGTTAAAAAATATTTTTATTAAATTTTTTTAAGTAGTATAAATTATTTTATACAAATTACTTATTCATATATAAATTTTTTTACCCCTCTTCTATTCGTCTAAACAAATTTCTCTATTTTTTTCTTATTTACTTTTACCCAAATAACACATTTTTTTCTTCTTCTATTATTTCTCTAATTTCTTTCCTCTCTTTCTCTTATTATCTAAACATAAATAAATCCTCAAAGATCATGCAAATAAATAAACTCACCCCACAAACCTGGCATGTAGCCTGGCCTTTACCACTTCATAATTTTTTGAGAAGTTACATATATAGACCCCAGTTTTTCTATATAAAAACATTCAATTTATAATTTACTGAAATAATTATGACATTAAAATTGAATTACTTTTACTTTCTCTTACTGAAATAATTACATCAGGTATACAAACTTCTGAAGCATGGTAAACACAAGTTCACCAGAACCATCAAAATTAGTTGTGCTACAAAATTTTGCCCGATCACATAATTACAACCATGAGGACATAGGAAAGGAATTGGACGAGTAAGACCACATCATGATACATATTTTGGGCTAAAATCTAACATCTGTTCGATAAATTTGCCCGGTAAAATTGAGAAATAAAATCTAATGAAGATACCTTCAAATATCATTAAGAAAGAACTATAATGAATATAAATTTGACATTCGGTAAGGTAGGCAAACGAGACTTCACATAAGCACTCTTGCAGCTTGTATTCTGTGCAACATATCTAAATGTCTTCTACCAATCATGATGAAGTTAAGGAGGCACCTCCTGAAAATGGCTCTATAAGAAAATCACAAGCCAAGGTAACATCTAAGAGAATATCTTCAGCTGAGAATGAGATTCTATTAAATAAATAAAATCAAATGAATAGAAAATAGCAAAGAAAGCCTACACTGAGAACTCTTGGTTTCTGTTCTACCTTAACAGTATACAAAATATATATACTTCAGAGGATGAAGTAATTTGTTTCCTGGAAGATAACATTGGATAGGGGAAAACAAGAGAAAAACTGACTAATATCGCAATTTGATAATGTCTAGATAGTCAGCACAAGAATCTTGGAGATCCGAACCAAATCCCATGCAGCCACTAAAATGTATCTCAATTCTTTACTGTTGTTGGAAATAGCTCAGAGATATGCATTATGTTTAAAAATGATTCCCTGTGTCACACAAATGTTTCAAATTTCTTGTATTAGTTTAATGGGAAAAATAATCATGTAATTCCAAATAATAAGCATTAAGCATTTATATGGATGGTTAAACATTTAAGACATATTCAATGATTTAGACATGCTATTATGTGAAGATTAGAATGCATGGCATGCTGATGTATGACATAACTGAAGAACACGACCTCTTACTGTTAAGGTATAAAAGATTTAACACAACAGATAAAATCCCTAATCCTGATTATGAACATGTGTAAGGATTCTAAATTCAACTGCGATTGGCTTGTTAGAATAATTTGTGAAACAATATTTTCCTCAGATAAAGTGATTTTCAAATGTTATAAAAAATATTAAACACCTTTTTGAAAATCCAAGGTTTCTATAACTTGGCTTTAAATAAATATGAAATATTTTTGGAATAAATTCTAAACACCTAAACTTAGAATTAATATGATTTACAAAATATATAATTGTTAAACAAAACTATTGAAAATATTTATTGTAAAACTTATTTTGAATATAAATATTGTGGTAATTGCTGGTGATCGATTATTACAAATAGTTGAAATTGTTATTTGTGGTGTTAAATACGCAAATAACTGATTATCACCTTGTGTAATCCATTACCAGCATACAGTTCAAAAAATCAAGTATTTCTATCATAAATCAATTTTCAAATGGATTTCTTATTAATATACTAATCACAAAATTAATATAGGATTTCCAGAATTTTCAAACTATCACTTAATTAAAAGCCTATTATAAATATATTCAAACCAATTATACAAATTAAGGATTTCAGAATTCTAAAATGACCAAATAACCCTTATTAAAATGCTATGCTATTATAAAAGGAATGGTTTTTAAAATTCAAAATTCTTCTCTTCTGTTAAAGGGTGGTATCCTTAGGTTTTTCAAGGTGTGGTATTCCCTGGTTTTTCTAAGGTATGGTATCCTTAGGGTATTGGAGTAAGAGAAATGCTAACTGCAGATTCTCTGCCACATTCTTTTAAACATATTCACTCTTATTAATTGAAATTTATTGGAAAACATAAAATTTGGTGGATCTCACATCTTATTTAATGATTCTCTCATTTGATTTTATAGTTTTTAATAAATTCTAACTAATAAGAGTGGATGTATTACGAGGAGTGTATTAGAAAGTGTGTTGCTGACACTCTTTATTGGAGTAATTTAGAGTGAGGCATCTTGGGGTTGGATTATCAAGGTGGGTTTCCTAGAGAAAAAAAAAGAAGTTATACAGTTGTAATACTCTGATTAGATAGTAGAAGAAATTTCAAGCGTAGCTTGAGGACTAGATCAAAGTGATTGGTGACAGAACTAGTAGTCTAGTATAAATCTTTGGTACACTTTTCTTTATCCCTAACGTTTTTATATTTGAGTATTTCAATTCCTTTATTATTGTTCTTTATAGAAAATTAGAAATTGATAATGATAATTAGGTTTTAAGCATTCTATATCAATTTATTTGTTTTTAAGGTTATTCCAATTCTAATTGGATTTTAGGTTTTATTATTGTTCTTCCATCAAAATTGATAATTGGGCTATGGCCCGCATCTTCAATTAAATTGTTTCTAAGGCCTGCAGCTATTTTTAATCTATTCAATACTTATATCCAATCCAAGTGTTTATAAGTTGATTTGGGAAAAAGTTTTTAAAAAAACTCAATTTACACCCCTTGAGTTTAACTAGCCATTTGGGTAACAATCACATGAATGACTGTTGGAAAAAATTTAAAATAAAAAAAAATGGTTGCAATTGCTTCTATAAGGCTCTGTTTGTATTAGAATTGCTTGAATGCTGACAATAACTCATGGGAAAGAAAAATCTCCTCCTCCTCATAAAGGCTGGGTTGGAAGTGTCTGAGTGTGTTGGAAAGTGTGGAAGTGGGTTCCCTTTAAAAGAAAGTTCAAACCAAACAGGCTACAACAAGTTTGGAAGGTCTAAAAATTCACATGAATCCAGTCCAGCAATTTTATGCAAAAAATATAGCCTGGCAACAAACATACACACCTGAAAGTCATACATTGTATACAGAGACCCAAGTGCATGCAGAAAGAAAGACTTACAGAAAGAACTGCTTACTATGTTGTGAATTCTGATACTATGAAAGTTTGCATGTCTTCCTATTGTGGCCAAGTCCCTTGCACTTACTGCACTGAAGCTGTCGTTTAATTATGTCTATCGATTCAACTTGCTTCATTTTTGGCCGACCTGGAGGACGCTTAGTTGGTGGAGGGGTTACAGTAACTGCAACATTCAATTCACTCTGGACTGGTCTGTCAACATTTGGCACAGGGTGAATAGATTCTGCATATGTTAATCGATAATTCTCAACTGTGAAGTATCTCGAACAATAATCATATGGGCTCCGACCGACACATTCAAAGACAGCAATGGCATGACAGCAGGGCACACCAGTAAGTTGCCATCCCTTGCAACTACAATCCCAATTATCGATATCAACAATATCAATAGATTCTCCACGGACCTCAAATGTGCTACCCTGTGAGAACAGTACTTGGAGTGTACGAGCAACAAATGTTTCCTTTTGGAGCATTTCCTCCTTGGATGGTGTCAACTTTGTCATCCATTGATTAGATTCCACCCGTCGTGCATAAATTGTTTCCATCATCTTACCTCGTAATGCATCAATCATTTGAGTAATTGGCAATTCGTGTGCCTCTGAAACCCAACTGTAGAATTGCTGTCCAAAATTTGATGACAGAAGATTATACCTTGCTCCATTAAAAAATGCATTTGCCCAGTGCTCTGGCTCACTTTGTATGACCCAATCATAGGCTTCAGGGGAAATACCTTTAATATTCTCAATGCTACGTTCAAAAGTCTCCAATTTGGGTGCATAAGCAGCAGCATAAAAATCATTAATCATGAAACGTCTGGCCTCGTGAGAAAATTGTCCCTTCAAGTCCTTGTTCAATTTCTCAGCGAGGTGACGTAAACAATAGCTGTGGTAAACTTTTTCAAATTTATCAGACAATGACTTTTTTAAACCATTTTGAAAATCCGCAACAAATGTGATCTGCTCAGATGTTGATATTGCTGATTTCAGTTCCTGCAGAAACCAGCACCAGTTGTCTTCAGTCTCGGTGTCTACAACTGCAAAGGCTACAGGAAAAATGCCATCATTTCCATCCACAGCGGTGGCAGCCAATAACTCACCTTGGTACTTTGAGTTCAAAGGAGTACTGTCAAGGAAAATGAGAGGGCGACAGCCTAGCTGGAAACCAGATATTGAGGCATGAAATGATACAAAGAGACGATGAAAACTTGAGTCATCTTTAGTGGTGAATGTTGCAAAACTCCCCGGATTGGTCTCTTTTATCTTCTCACAAAAAAATGGTAACTGAGTATATGCCTCTTTGTAGGAGCCTTGAAGCTGTTCTCTAGCAATTTCCTTTGCACGCCATGCTTGAGAATAATTTAACTGAATACCATACTCCCGTTTTATGTCATCAGCAATATCCTTCGGCTTGTAATTGGGTGAATCTTTCAATTTCTCTTTTATAATACTTCCCACCCAACCCCTAGTTGCTCGGTACCCAGCTTTAACGGCAGATCCTTCACAAGTATGATTGTAGTGCATCTTCTTAATGCAAATCAACTGAGTGGTTGACAATCTTGATGCATATATTCTCCAAGGACAGCCTTGAGATTTACATTTGACCGTGACACGATGACTATCATTTTTCTTATACTTGTATGCAAACCCATGAGCAATAGAGTATTTATGCAATGCTTCCCGAAATTCACTAAAACTATTGAACCTTTGGCCCACACCAGTGATGGTATTTTCCCACTGCTGTGCAGCTTTACGATGATTGTCATCATTTCCCCCAGAACAAATAGAACGTGCAGGGACTTCATTAGCTACCTCTACTTGATCCATGCATTGGACAGTATCAACAATGACATCAATAGGAGCAATGACAGGTACAGTGCCTTCTGACACAGTTGTCCTGCTTGACCTGCAATAACAAGTCTTCTATAAGAGTTCCAAAATAAAGCACACATGAAAGCATATGAATTTAACACATCCCATGTCCATTATTATTTGGTCACAGCCACATCAGTCCAATTATGTAGGGCACATCACTAACTTGACAACTTGAGACAACAGAAAAATATGGTATTAAAAATATGTACAACTCTTAAACATCATATCCAAGCAGGGATTTCTGCATTTCAGTCAAATTAAACTATATATATAATAAATGTCTATTATTATCTAAGCAAGTCTAAGTAAGATGATTGATAAACAAACAGAACATGTGAATAACTACTACCTACTACCAGGCATGATGGAATTGTTGTTTCGAGCCGCTCCTTCGTCTGACATAACAAACACATCAACCGTGTTAGCATCCCCAATGAAAGTGACCATGCGTTGCAAATCCTTGTCTTTTGACACTGTAATAAGTGTTCTCTTGTTGCCAGGAAGGAAGTACTTGATAATCATCGTACTTACATTGCAGTTGAACATTTCTGCTATCTCTGACTTAAAATCACTCAAACTTGTCTGCTGATCAATGTCTATTGCATAGGCATCCCCCCCACTGTATGACAATAAGCCATCCTTATCAGTTACAAACTCTCCTCCTGATTGACATATAGCTATAACTTTCCTCGTATCCATAGCCTACCAAGTAGCAATTATATAATTATTTTTCTTTTCAGAAGAAAAGGTGCCAGTGAGAAAATGCAACTCTCATAGCTCAAAGTCAAATATCAGGGTAGATAATAATAAACAGTGAAACGGGTTGTTGCATTTAGCACTCTGAACTCTTCACTGCAAAGGGCCCAAGAAGTAAATTTCACTGCCAAAATCCGAAGTCATGTTTGGTATCAAATTTCATAAGCGAATTACACATACAACAAACACAACATAATCTAGTAAACCATATAAATTTTAGATAAAAATCCAATCTTTAACAAAAAAAAAAAAAAAAAAAAAAAA